CCCCCCACACACACACCCCATTTCTCTCCACGCATTAATTCATGAATAGTTTTGTGAACAACGACTGCTATCTCGCATGTTTATCTCAAACTCTGGAGATAGTTACAAACGGAGATAAATGGAACACGATAAAACGTCTGTCGGAAGTTTAGAAGAAGTGGATACGGCGAGAAGCGTTCGTGAATGATTGGAGGTTGTTTGAGGCTGGTTGGATGTGGTGGAGTCGGTCTGTTCCTTTGTAGGAACTCAGCTTCTGGGTGTATTGCGATACCTTTACAAAGACGGTGTAGCGACGGGGTGCGTGAAACAGTATATCGCAACGACCATGTTAATTTGGGAATAGGTTTATCAACATTTCTCCGTATCTTGACATCACTCGTGCTTTGGGGGGGAGGGGGTGATAGTTATGGTCTGAGATAAGTCTGCTACCCTAGAATTACAAGGTTCTATCTGCTCAGTACCTAGTTTTTGGAAATTTGACGTTAAAAAATTTTGTGTTTCACTAACATGTCAAGCTTTTTCAAATGCAATTCTCTAAATATCTTGATAACGACTCCAAATAATCTTACGATTTTGATTTAGATCAGATAGAACATCTGGTTTCTGGCGTTATGGTCTCAGTAACTCAAAACGGACAAAAGTGTCAGATAGAACTTTGTAATTCTAAAGTAGCGAAATGTTACCGGACAAACGGGGCGCCCCTCTCAGAGATGGGGATGAAGGGTGTTATACAGAAGGAAATAGCAGGGATGTCTAGCGTGTTGACACTTTTTTTAAAACCGACGTCGAGTTAATCTTTTGAGTGGACTTGGCTTCTGGGAAGGTTGTAATATGTCCGCAATGTCGGTACCGCAACGGGGTGCGTGGAACATGATATTGTAACTGCTGAGTTGTACCTACAAACAAAGATAAAGCTAAGAGATAATGCTGCCCTTTGGTAGTGTGTGTGTGTGTGTGTGTGTGTGTATGCGTGTGTGTGTGTGTGTGTGTGTGTGTGTGCGTTGGGGGATGGGGGGGGGTACATAGGTGGTCAAAACTGTTACCATGACTTACTGCAAGGGTATTGGGATTGTTTTGCTGTAGTTGTTCTTTTTAATCGTACATTTGTTTGTTTGCTTACATGTGGGTATGTTATATTCGCTCTTGGGAAAGTTATTTTGTTTGAAATGTGTGCGTCTTTCTGCTGGAATGTTGTATCCCATAGAACTCGTATTGACCCTGTCAGGCAGAGCCATAGCAGCCAGCCACCTGAAAGCTCAGAACTGTTTACTTCCACTTTAGATCGGTTCGGGGTTGGGTTTTTTGTTGTTTATTGTTTGTGTATTTGGTGTATTTTTATTTTAGGCCTGGAGTCCTTTATGGGCCAAGCTTCTCGGTGAAAATGGGCAGATCTGAGTCAGTTATTAATTGACAAGGGTGGGGACTTGTTGGGTATGAATTAGGACAGAAAAGAAAGCAACGATGGATGTGAAGAAGCATAAACATGAAATTTGAGAAATGTGTTTGGGCGTATGTGGGTGTCTTGGAAGCACGAGGGGGTCAAGGGAGGGGGTGAAGAAAGGGGCAAGGGAGGGAGCATAGGAGAGGACTAGGGAAGAGACGAAGGAAGGGGTTGAGGGAAATAACGAGGGAATGGGCTAGGGAAAGGGAGGGGAGGAAGGGGCAAGGGAGGGGGGGGATGGATAGGACTATGGAAGAGACGAAGGAAGGAGTCGAGGGAAAATATAACCAGGAATGGGCGAGGGAGGAAGGGGACGAAGGAAGAGCGTTGGTCGAGGATCAGAAATGAGATAGCATCCTCTGGCGAAGTGTAAAGTTAGAGCGGAGAAGAATAGATCTTGCTACGTGCTGTAGGGTGCGTAGCGTGCGTCGTGTGACGTCGGCGGTTGAGAACTGTGGCGTTGTGTGATGGACGTCGCTCGCTGGGTCTGTCGTCACCGCGTCTGAAGATAGGGATCTCCGGCCCTGAGAAGGGGAAAGATAAGCCTGTCGTAAACTTTCCATCTCAGAATGGGTTTAGGAAGGGGAGAGGGTTGTCTTTTTTAGAGGCGAGAGGCGGGGGTGGGGTGGGTTTTTTCGATGTTGGCATAGTTATGTTTTGTTTGTTTGTCTTTACTATAAAATGTGAGAGTTTTTTGTTTTATTTTGGTTTGTTTTTGTTTGTGCATATAGTTTTCTCAGTGTCCACATGTGTCCAAATCGACTCCAACAATGCAATAGCAATAACTACTCTCTTGATTAGGGTCTTTGTTTCTTGTTTCTTGTTGATGTTTTTGTTGTTGTTGTTGTTGTTGTTGTTGTTGTTGTTGTTGTTGTTGTTGTTG